ACACTACCGCATCTTGCTTGCTCTCCCCAACGTCCTCATAGAATCCCAGAATCCCAGGGTGTGCATAGACCTCAGGAGTCATCGCGTCCAGCCCCCTACCCACAGCAGGACCGACTCCAACTCAATCATGCCAGCCAGGGCTTGGTCAAGCCGGGACTAAAACTCCTCTAGGGATGGAGATTCCACCCCCTCCCTAGGGAACCCATCCCCGTGCTTCCCCACCCTCCTAGGGAAATCGTTTGTCCTGATCTCCAACCTAGACCTCCCCCACTGCAACTTGAGACTTACAGCACTGAATCACTTTCCTTGACTCTCTTTTGACCTCCTCGCTGCCCCCAGCTCTCTTTCTGGCCCCTCTTGGGCTCTGAATTCATATTCCCCAGTAACTAAGTCACCTCTTTCCATACAGTCCCCCTTCTGCCCAACTGGACAGCCCTTCCGTCACCTTCAGTCTGTGCCTCCCTTGATGTTTTCAGCCTCTTCCTCACCTTGCTGCCGAGTCACGCCAAGAAGCGTGAGATTCGTTATTGATCACCCATTAGCCGTTGCATCTTCATTCATGGGCTCCTACGGCGGGCAGAGCCTTCAGGAGTCATCAAGTCCAGTCCCCGGCCCAAAACAGGACCAACTTCAACTTTCTTGTCTGTTCCATCATGCCCTGGTTTCTGCTTCTCTTCCAGCTCCCATACCGCCGGGAGACTCAGGAGAATATCCAGTGACGATGCCTATTTCCTCCAGTAGAGGTTAATAGTCGTTCCGTTCTACCATCTTTCCTTGCCTAACTCTGCCCATCACCCTGGGGCGACCCACAGGCCTCATGGCCGGATGTGCTGGACAGGCCAAGGGGGGAGATACCAGAAAGAGGTTAATAGTCGTTCCGTTCTACCATCTTTCCTTGCCTAACTCTGCCCATCACCCACCCCTCCATCTAGGTACTATCCGGTGCCTACTTATTCTCCTTGATTGTAGCCTAGAGCTAGAAGAATAACAGTGATTTGTGAATATGTTCATATTCAAACGGGCTAAGTTGTGTTTCGCTTGCATTTACGCGAGTTATTCCCAAGTAGAACTGTTCGATTTTTTTTTTTAAGAAAATATTTTTAATGACACGAGCCCTTTTTCAACAATGAACATTTTTGCAAATTCATTTGGATTTTGGAATGGGGTGGGGTTGCATTTTGGTTTTTATTTTATTTTTTACAGAAATGCTGCACTAAACCGGCAGGCCTACGTGGGCGGGGTCTAAACCGGCAGGCCTACGTGGGCGGGGTCTAAACCGGCAGGCCTAAGAGGGCGGGGTCCAAGGCACTCATGACCCCCTCATCTGGAGGGAACAC